CAAAAACGTCAGCCTTCCTGCTCCTCTGATGCTGCTTGGCCTGCTGTGTTCATCCAGCTCTATACCTTGTTATCTCAGATTCTCCAGCATCTGCAGTTCCTACTATCTCTATTGCAGGTCAGAACCCTTCTTCAGAAATGGGGAGGGGGAAGGGAGCTCAGATATAAATAGAGAGGAGGGGTGGGGCTGGTGAAGGTAAGTGGGATGGTGATAGGTGAGTGTAGGTAGGGAGTGGTGGGGATTGGTCAGTGGACTGGTAGTGTCAGGTCAAGGAGGTGGGAATGAGAGGTAGGATTGGACATGGAGCTCCACTCCAGCTCCAGCTCCATACTGTGTTATTTCTGACTCCAGCACCTGCAGTTCTTGTTATCTCTGAGTGAAATGTTGGGTGCTTGTGATAAAGCAATGGCAACAAACATGTGTTTTATGTATAAACTAGAAAAATCAGATAAGCAGTAGTGGTGTGAATGAGGAGTTCATAGAATGCTTTCTAGATAGCTTCTTAGAGGACCACATTTTGGAACTGACCTGAGAGCAGTTTATAGAATTGTACTCTCATAGAATTTTACAGCACAGAAAGAGGCCATTTGACCCATTGTGTCTGTATTGGCTCCCGAAACAGCTACCCAGCTAGTCCCATTCTCCAGCCCTATCTCTACTGTCTAAATTCATCACTTTCAAATATATACCCTATTCTCTTTGAAACCTCTATGGAATCCACTTCCATCACTCTCACAGGAAGCACATTCCATACCCTAACAACTCTCTGAGTAAAGAAATTCTTCCACATCTCACTCCTTGCTGTCTTGCTGACAATTTTGAAATTGTGACCCCCAGTTACTGACATAGCAGCTAGTGGAAATAGTATACCTGTATCTTTCTTTACATAATCAAAATTGTTCGTGGTTTTTGAACACCTCAATAGAGTCACCTCTTAATCTGTGCTCCAAGGAGAATAAGCCCAATTTCTCTAATCTTTCCTTGTATCCAAAAGCTCTTATTCCTGGTATCATTCTAGCGAATCTCCTTTGAACTGTCTCCAGCACTTTAACATCCTTCCCTAAATAAGGTGCCCAAACTGAACTGGATGGCGTGGTGGCTCAGTGGTTAGCGGTTAGCACTGCTGCCTCACAGTGCCAGGAACCCGGGTTTGATTCCACCCTCAGATGACTGTCTGTGTGGAGTTTACACATTCTCCCTGTGTCTGCGTGGGTTTCCTCCCACAGTCCAAAGATGCGCAGGCTAGGTGGATTGGCTGTGTTAAATTGCCTGTAGTGTTCAGGGATGCGTAGATTAGGTGGGTTATAGGGGGATGGGTCTGGGTGGAATGCTCTGAGGGTCGGTGTGGACTTGTTGGGCTGAAGGGCCTGTTTCCACACTGTGGGGATTCTATGAAACTGAACAAAATACTCCAAATATGATCTGACCAACGATTTGTAAAGGTGTAGACACAGTCATTTCCTGTTTTTTATACTCTCTGCCTCCATTTATAAACCCAAGGATCCTATAAGCCTTCTTAACAACTTGCGAGGCCACCCTCAGTGAGTGGGACTAGTTCAGTTTGGGATTATGGTTGGCATGGACATGTTGGACTGGAGGGTCTGTTTCTGTGCTCTGTGACTGAAGAGAATCAGGTACCTGTGAACCATGAGGCGCTTCTGTTTCTATACTTCCTTCAAAGATGTATAAATGAGCCTGTGTTGTCTCTGTGTTTCTTCTACCAAAATGCATTACTTCACATCTCTCTGCATTGAAATTCATTTGCCAGGTGTCTGCCTGTTTGTCAGTGCCCCTCGGAAGTCATTCAGCATCATCCTCACCATTCTCCCTAGATTAGTAGCATTTGCAAATTAGAGATTTTGTCCTCCACATCCATGTCCAGATTGTTTATATTACTCAGAAAAAACAAGCGTCCCAACACTGATTCATGGCTAACACCACTGTGTCCAATCTGAGAAATGCCCATTTATACCTACAATCTGTTTCCTATCTTGTAGCCAACTTCTAATCCATGTTGCCAAGGATCCATAACTCCCAAACATTTCTAATTTGTTAACAAACCCGCCATGTGGCACCGTATCAAATGATTTCTGAAAGTCCAAATATACACCATCCACAGCACTACCTTCATCGACTGCCTGTGTAACCTCATCAAAGAATTCAATTAAATTTGTCAGACATACCTGCCCTTAAAAAAGCCATATTGACTGTCAAGTGTTGAGTTATTTTTCTATGTGTATATTTACCTTATCCCGTATAATGGCCTCAATCAGTTTTCCTACTACTGATGTCAAGCTGACGGTCCGTAGATTCCTGTGTTGTCCTTTGCACCTTTCTTAAACAACAGTGTCACATTTGCAATCCTCCAGTCCCCTGGGAGTAATCCTGCTTTCAGAGAGGCCTGGCCTTGATATTGTGCAATATGACAAGATTAATTAATAACCCCAGAGTTATGGCATCCCTAGTAGTACCGACCACAATACAATTGAGTTTTGCATTAATTTTGAAAGGAAGAAGATTGGATATAACAGTAGTGTTTTAAACCTAAATAAGGGGAACTATGAGGGCATGAAAGCTGAGCTAGCTGAAGTGAACTGGCATACTAGCCTATGGGATAGATCAATAGAGACATAGCGGCTGATATTTAAGGGCATATTTTAGAATACACAGAATAAGTATATTCCTGTTATAAATAAAAATTTTAAGGGAGGACCCACCATCTATGGTTAAGCAGAGCAGTTATGGAAATCATCATACTTAATGAAAATGCATATATCTGCGTGCAGATGAGTGGCAGGTCAGATGATTAGTTGGAATATAAAGAAAGGTAGACACTAAAATGTTAATCATAAGGAAGAAATTAGAATATAAGAGAAAGGTAGCTAGAAATGTAAAAACGGATAGCAAGAGTGTAAATGGATTCAAACAAGAAACGAGTAGATAAAACCACTGTTGATCCTCTAGAGGGTGAGAATGAGGAGTTAATAATAGATAGTAAAGAAAGACTGGATGAAATGAACAAACGTTTTGATTTTGCCTGGACTTGATATTGTGCAATGTGATAAGATTAATTAATAACTTTTGTATGGAATACAAAGTAACAATGATATATTTCCAAGTCAGGATGGTGAATTACTTGGAGGGGAACAACACTGTTTGTGGCGTTTCCATGTATCTGCTGTCCTTGTCCTTTCAGATGGAAGTGGGCTGGTTTCGGAAGGTACTGTCTAAGGATCTTTGATGAGTTACTGCAGTGCATCTTGTAGGGACTTCATGCTGCTGCTACTGATAATCAGTGATGGGGGGAATGGATGCTTGTGGATGTGGTGGCAAACAAATGGGCTGCTTTGTCCTGGATGGTGTTAAGCTTCTTGAGCATTGTTGGAGCTGCACATTGTTGGAGACGGTGGACAGGCTTTGGGGAGTCAGGACATAAATTACTAGTCACGGTATTCCTAACCTCTGACCTGCTCATGTATCCACTGTATTTGGCAAGTCCAGTTGAGTTTCTGCTCAATGGTAACCCCATTGTGGGGGATTCGGTGATGAGTAGCACCATTGAATGTCATGGGGTGGTGATTAGATTGTCTCTTATTGGAAATGGTCATTGCCTGGCATTTGTGTGGAATGAATGCTACTTGCCACTTGTCAGCCCAAGCCTGGATTTTGTTACATTTGAACATGGACTGCTTCAGTATCTGAGGAGTCACGAATGATGCTGAACTTTGTGCAATCATCAGTGAACATCCCCACTCTGACCTTATGATGGAAGGAAGGTCATTGATGAAGCAGCTGAAGATGGTTGGGCCTAGGGCCTGCACTGAGGAACTCCTGCAGATATGTCTTGGAGCTGAAATGACTGACCTCCAACAAGCACAACCACCTTCCTATGTGCATGGTATGACTCCAAGTAGCAGAGAGTTTGCTCCCGATACCCATTGATTCTGATTTTGCTAGGACTCCTTGATGTCAAGGGCTGTCACTGTCACCTCACATCTGGAATTTAGCTCTTTTGTCCATGTTTGGACCAAGCCTGTAATGAGGTCAGGAGCTGAGTGGCCCTGGCAGAACCCAAACTGGGCATCACTGCACGTTATGGCTGAGCAGGTGCTGCTTGATACCAAGGTCAATGACATCTTCCATCACTTTACTGATGACCGAGAGTACGCTGATGGAGCGGTAATTGGCTGGGTTGGATTTGTCTTGCTTTTTGTGTACAGGACATACCTGGACAATTTTACCAATTGTTCGTTAAATGCCAGTGTTGTAACTCTATTGGAAGAGATTGGCTAAGGAAGTGGAGCACAAGACTTTAATACTATTGCGAGACAGTTGTCAGGGTTCATAGCCTTTGCAGTATTCAGTGTCTCCAGCTATTTCTTGATAACACGTGGAGTGAATCAAATTGGCTGAAGACTGGTATCTGTGATGCTGTGGCCCATCAGAGAAAGCTGAGATGAATCATCCACTTGGTACTTCTGGCTGAAGATTGCTGCAAATTGATGAAGCTGCAGGTTGACAAATGTTTCGGTCCAGATGGACTTTATCCGAGTGTCTTAAAATAGGTAGCTAATGAATTAGTAATTCCTTTGAAAATAATTTTCCAGGGGGGAAAACGGATGGTGCATGGGGTGGGAGAATGGAAAGGGTGCGGGGGTGGGGTAGCAGAAGGAATAGGGCATGGGGTGAGGTGGAGGGGAGATCTGGCTATCTGTTTTGTAAGATATAAGGAAGTTTAGAGGACGTTTACTAGATTGTTATCTGGAATGAACAGATTATTTTTTGAGTTTAGTTTGAGGTTGGACATGCTGGGCTTGTTTCCACTGAAGTTCAGAAGAATGAAGAGTGACTCAAGTGATGAGTTTAAGATCCGAAATGGTCTTGATTAGGTGGACCTTAGTGGGTCACCCTTTCAGAACAGAGATGAGGAGAATTTTTTTCTTTTCTGAGTTTGGAAGTCTCTGCCTCGGAAGGCAGTGGCAGCAGGATCATTGACAATGTTCCCAGAAAATGTGTGGTCACTCATCAGTTGGTGTGCTGGCGCCTTCTGGTTTCAGAAGTCACTACGAAGCATAGACCTCAGAGATCAATGCAGAAAACAAAAAAATTCGAGGGAATGTAGGTCATCAAATATTTTTAGGGTAGAGATAGATAGATTCTTGTTAGGCAGCGGAATCAAGAACTAATGGGGTAGATAGGTATGCAAAATTTGAGATAAAAACAGATCAACCATGATTCTTGTCGATGGATTTTTGTTCAAAGACCATTTGGTTGATTTTGGTCTCTGATATACTTGAAGATGTTTTGCTACATTCATGGATCTGTCTAAATATGAATTGCTTGAAAGTTGATTAACTTGTTCCATAACATGTATAGTTTTGTCACTGATATTTCCAAATTCTCTCCAGATTTGACTGTAATCTCCATGGTGTCAAAAGGTAATGCTGATTACTGAGTTCAAAAAAAGCATAATTCTAACCTGTTTAGAAGCCTTTTCAGCTGAACACTTTCATTGTTATATTGTCTTGAAATGCTGCTTTATGGTATAGAAGTCCCACAGTCCTCCCTATTGTAAGTGGCCTCTTGCAATGTTCTATTTATGGCAAATTGCTATGTGTATGTTTGGTTGACATCATTGGCAGAGCTAAGCTTTGCTCATGCATTATTTCTCTCCACAGGATTCACATGTACAATTACCCTCCTGTATTTTAATGTGCATTTACACAATGTCTCAGCATGATCTGGGTCCTGGAGTTGAATACCAAAAACATTATCCTAAAATTGGGTCCTATTTTTGCATTATAAGCTTGAAACTCTATATCTTGCTGACTATTTGAGACTTCTTCATTGCGAGTTGCAACTTTAGATCCACAGTTCCATAATAGGCATGATTTGTTATCGAGAAAGGATAACTTACACAGTGGATATATTTACTATCATTCATCTGTGGCTCCTAGACGTTTTCTTTCCACCAATGTACAGCATCTATTTCTTTAATACATTGAAATAGGAAACCTTCAAAAGCCACCAAAGCATAGCTAAATTGGAACCTGAACTGATGGCATTTACTGCACCGGGAAATTTCTGTCTAATTGGAGTTTGCACGGACAACTAGTAACACAGGAACAGAGATAGACTATTCAGCTATGCAAACCTATTCTACCGTTCATTCATCATTGATCTGCAATGTAATTCTACCTTTCCAACTTAGTCCCATTTTCCTTAATGCCTTTCCTAACAAAAATCAACCGCAGTGTTGAAATTTTCAACTAACCTTGCCCCATCCACTAACTTTTATATGAAGTGCTTCCTGACATCACTGCTGGGCAGCCCAGCTACATAGCGCAGAGGGAAGCCTGCCAGTGGGAGAGGCAGCAAACATGGCGAGAGTGGCTGTGATGAAGATAGCAGTTTTCAATAAGAAAATTGACCCACTTATGACAATTTGATTTGCATCCTGGGCACCCAAAGGCACAAAGGAAATATAACAACTGGAGTTTTGAAGGGTCATATTTGACTCAAAAAACAAGAACTCTGTTTTTCTCTCAGCAGATGCTGCCAGACCTGCCGAGTTTCTCGAGTATTTCCTGTTTTTAATACAGCAAGTATGATCACTTCAGAAAGTAAAGGATCGTTGACTTCAGAGTACATAAAATGTTAGGCAGAACTCACACGAAGTGATCAGTTACCACTGGGAGTTTACCACAGTCGAGTTTTTCATTATAACAGGAAATCATGGTTAATATTGTTGGGACTATCATAAAACATCTTGATCTGATTTATTAAATATGTCAGAGGTTGTTTATTATAAAAAACTTATTTAAAGTTGCATACCATTTAAGCATATCTATACACTTCAAATAATATCTCTCAGCATGGTGTACCTTTAAACTGTCAGCCAGCTTGCATTGCACACTCTCACCGCTGCCAAGAGATTTCCACTACTGTCAGCTCGGCACAAAACAACATGACTTCAGGGGCCAATAACACTCAGGGTGGAATTTTGTCAGGTCCCTGAATGATGTGACCAATCTTGAGTCAGTTGGGAAAATATGGCAAGATGAGAAAAATTAGTTTCTCAACTTTGAGGAGAAAGGTCTGATTTTCCACTCAAAGTTTTAATGGCAAGACAAGAATCTTGCTAGTGAGTGGTAATTGGCTGGTTTGCATGCACAAACATCTCATTATTCCCTGATCTTGCCTTATTTAAATGAAGTTTGCTATTTTCCCGAGCAGGCAGCTTGTCATGTTTGACAGCAATGAAAAGTCAAGAGGACTATGGTCAGTCAAGGGACTATGTTCTTTGTTGGTCAGAAATGGTGGTGAGGTATCCTGATTGCGTGAGTAGTAAATATAGAGGGCAGGAAGGCTTAGTGGTTTGGAGTACAGGATTGGTTAGAACTATTGAGGGAAAATGCTGTATTGGTGGGAGATGGGTTAGGATCTGGATGCAATGGCAGAGTACAAGATAGGTGCCAGGGAGGTGTGGTGCATACTTAATGAGATGAACAGCGGAGCTCCTGCAGAGAAAACTTCCATGAAACTTTTGGAAATTGACACTTAGCCAATTTTTAGTAAAATTCACCCCTCAGAATTGCTGCCTACACATTAAAGGCCTGAAGATACAGCTATGTTTAAAATATCATTTATCATTAATCAGAAGCCGGTTTAGTCCATGTTACCGGACCAGTTTAACAAATAAAGTATTTCTGTTCATCTCTGTGTCTCCAATTTCTCATGCGCTGAATATTGAATTTGCGTGGCATTGTCTCACAGTGAGGTGGGAAAAGTGAACAATGAATCAGCCAGGAATACTTCCGAACTACCTAGCTGTATTGGCAGAGGGCTGTCAGACCACTTGCCCAATTGTCACAAAAGATGCTTCATGAGAAAGAGAACTCAGGAGGAAAATAGATTTTTCTCACAGCAAAAAAAAAATTACAGTCCTTACATTATTAATGCATGAGATAGTTATATACCATCTTAACACTCAAAGAATGGAAGTCAAAGAGGTGCTAAATCATGACTGTTAATTTGTAAACTGCTTAATGATAATGGCACTTGTAAATACCACACTGTTTTGACTGTCTCAAAACATTGGAGTAATGAAACCCAGAATTTCAGGAATAAAGAGAACAAAAGTGCTATATTATGTCCTCGAAAGAATTAAAACTCAATAAATGTTGATAATAACTTTGTTCTAAAAATCCCAACAAAGTGGCAGAGAAAGGAATTACGGAATCATACAGTGCAGAAGATGCCCTTTGGCCCATCAAGTCTGTACCACCAAAAATATAGCACTACCTGCACTAGTCTCCCTTTCCTGTATGACACCCATAGCCTTTTTAAAGGTTGTGAGGTTTCCCACCTCATCTAACGTACCAGGCAGTGCATTCTAAATCGTTACCACCCTCTGAGATTTTCCTCAAATTCCCTCTAAAGCACCTGCCTTTAACTTTAAAATTATTCCCCCTTGTTATCGACCCTTAAACTAGGGGGAATAGCTGTTTTCTATTCACCCAATCCATGCCCCTGATAAACTTATACAGCTCTATCACATACCCCCTGTCAACTTTCTCTACTCCAAAGGAAATAACCTGAGTTCATCCAGCCTCTCTTCATAGATGAAATGCTCTGTCCCAGGCAACATCCTGATGAAAGAGATAACAAGGTGTAGAGCTGAATGAACACAGCAGGCCAAGCAGCTGTGGAGCAGGAAAGCTCACATTTCGGGCCTAGACCCTTCTTCAGAAATGAGGGAGGGGAAGGGGATTCTGAAATAAATAGGGAGAGAGGGGGAGGCGGGTAGAAGATGGATAGGGGAGAAGATAGGTGGAGAGGAGACAGACAGGTCAAAGAGGCGGGCATGGAGCCAGTAAATGTGAGTGTTGGTGGGGAGTTAGGGAGGGGATAGGTCAGTTCAGGGAGGACGGACAAGTCAAGGAGGCGGGATGAAGCTAGAAGGTAGGAGATGGGGGTGGGGCTTGAGGTGGGAGGAGGGGATAGGTGGGAGGAAGGACAGGTTAGGGAGGCAGGGACAAGCTCGGCTGGTTTTGGGATGCGATAGAGGGAGGGGAGATTTTGAAGCTTGTGAAGTCCACATTGATACCATTGGGCTGCAGGAATATGAGTTGCTGTTCCTGCAACCTTAGGGTGGCATCGTTGTGGCACTGCAGGAGGCCCAGGATGGACATGTTGTCTGAGGAATGGGAGGGGGAGTTGAAATAGTTTGCGACTGGGAGGTGCAGTTGTTTAGTGCAGACCGAGCGTAGGTGTTCCGCAAAGCAGTCCCCAAGCGTCCGCTTGGTTTCCCCGATGTAGAGGCCACAACGGGAACAGCGGATACAGTAAACCACATTGGCAGATATGCAGGTGAACATCTGCTTGATGTGGAAAGTCTTCTTGGGGCCTGGGATGGGGGTGAGAGGGGAGGTGTAGGGACAGGTGTAGCACTTCCTGCGGTTGCAGGGAAAAATGCCGGGTGTGGTGGGGCTGGAGGGGAGTGTGGAGCTGACAAGGGAGTCCTGGAGAGAGTGGTCCCTCCGGAAGGCAGATAAGGGTGGGGAGTGAAAAATATTTTTGGTGGTGGGGTCAGATTGCAGATGGCAGAAGTGTCAGAGGATGATGCGTTGGATCCGGAGGTTGGTGGGGTGGTACGTGAGGACGAGGGGGATTCTGTTTTGGTTGTTATTGTGGGGAAGGGGTGTGAGGGATGAGTTGCGGGAAATGTGGGAGACGACTCCCGAACATCTCAGATGTCCTTGTTTTTCAAGGACCGCAACTTGCCCCCCTCAGTAGTCGAGAACACCCTCGACCGTGTCTCCCGCAACAACTCTCCTACACTTGAGAACCCAAGTGTAAATATCTTAAAAGAGAAAGTAACTTAAAACCAAGTGAAGAAAGTTGAGCAATATGTAAACTACCAATGTGAACAAAAGACTTTAATTGTGAAGAGTATTGGTGATCCAATGAAGGAAATTGTAAGGAAGCCAAATACCAGCTTGACAACTACTAAAATTCCAAAAGCTGTCAGGTCAGGGTTTCTGTTTTTTTTAAATCACATTTTGTTTGATCTGTTTAAGGGAGAC